TCTGTGTATACATGGATGCATGTGCAAGTAAGTGTGCAACATCTGCACAACATGCAGCCCTGAAAATACTAGATGGATGACTGGCCTACCTTAGAAACCTGAGTGATCTACCAGGAGAGAGAAGGCTGTAAAGCTTCCGGGGATAGGATATGTTTCTATGCACACACTCTCCCCAAAAGATACACTGAAGTCTTAACTCTCAGGACCTCAGAATGAGAACTTACTTGGAAACAGAGTCACTGCAGAGGCAGTCAGTTAAGATGAACTCATTCTAGAACAAGGCAGGCCCCTCATTCACAATTATTGGAGTCTTTAACGTGGCACCATAAAACACAGACATACAGGGAGTTCACCATGGATGGCACAGGCAGGACTGGTGGGCTGCCGCCACCAGCACAGAGCCATAGCCAGCCAGTAAGCCCTCAGCAGCTAGAGAGAAACACGACAACACAGTTTCAAATTTCTAGGCTCCCCAGTTGTGAGGTTACCCATTTCTGTTGCTTCAAATCTCTCAGACAGTACTGCCTGAATATAGTGGGCCTAGGAAATGACTACATAGATGAACAAAGCCTCAACCTCAGGTTGAACTTCTTGGCTGGTAAACAAGAGCAGCCCCATGGGAGTGAAGGGAGCTTCTGCCTGATTGTACTGCAGGCTCTTTGGCCAATGGCCTGCCCCACAGGTACTCAGAGGCAATGCCCTCACACTTGCTCCCAAATCAGTCCCTGAGGGATAAAGCTGGTGTGTGACCAACCAAGTCTGGAATCATCCATCACTGCTCTTATTAACGATATAATTTCCTGTTTAAATTAGTCTGACTGTGGTACTCAGATAAATGCATAGTTTCTATATTGAGGGTTTTTTCTTTTCTTCTTAAGATCTCTTAATTCTACTCTGTATGCTACTGACAGTTTATAAAAAATAAAAAATCATATTGACTTTGACTTTCAGATGAATACTTTTGCTACGTCAATTTATTTCTCCAATACACTGCTTGATATGTCCCGTCACACAAAGATCACCCAACATTTTTTTCCTCCAACAGTGCTGAGTTGATGCGACCCCAGTATTCTTCAATATTAGTAGTGTCCAAATAAGACAGTGGGAAAGAATGAGTAGAGAGTGCTGATAAAATGATAATCAATTCACTCTGCAGCTTTGTGCTGCCCCACTGAACTGTGCTTCCCAAATGCTTGTCAGCATTAGAGTGTGCCATGGTCACATCCCATTAGCTACCTGGTTTGTAGTATAGCCTATTTGAATTAAGCACTACAGTTCTTCTAGCTTATGAAATAAAAAATTGAATAAGAATGTGAAAAGAATAATTTGGTTTAGTTTCTCAAACATAAAACAGGATCAAGGATCTTTCAGTTGCATTTTAAAAATAAAAGTATGGGTCATCTGCAGTGGTTTTATTCTACTGGCATTGAGATTGTACACATTGTTGCTGAATTTAACCTAAACATCACTATCCGTACAAGCAGAAACAAAAACATGCAAAGACAAATGCACTTTGCAGACCCTACAAGATGATGTAACTGTAACCATTATGATTATGATTATATGTGTTCTCAAGGACTGCTCTTATTCCAAAGCACTACTCACAGGGAAGAACAGAAACATCTGTTGAATTGAACTACCAAATGCAAGGTTATTCCTGTGGTCATTCCTATGGAGGATTGTGGAGCAAAAAGAGATTTTGTTAGGAAAAATAATTCTTCATTTCGGAAATAAACATAAAAGGTCCCAGAACATGCAGCACATGAGCTCACATCTTTAGACTCTCTTGCAAGAGCAATCAGACACTTGCCCCTGAAAGGAGCTGTGCAGATCTCCACACTGTAAGGGCACACTGTCTACTCCTCAGTTTATCTACTGCAGCAGGCAGGAGGTCACACCAGCTGTTCCCATGGAGAAGGGAATCACTGCCAGCCAATCTGGGCAACAGTAGCTCAACATAGACCTCTACACTGCCCCCTGGAGAAACACTACGTATTTTGTATAATGCAGCTGAAATTGGAAAGTCACAAATACCTCTTCAAAGGTACAGAGCCACGGGCAGGCTTCTGTATTTGCATTTTGCAATCCTGAGAGTACCCACTGGTTGCAAATTAGTACATAAATGCCAACTTGCATGTTATACCACACCAAGCACAAACTGAGTGGCCTCGGTGACGCTTTGCTTTCAGAACAGATCAAAATCCACAGAGCTTTGGTATGAACAGCTCTCCTCAAAACAGCCCTCCAAATTTATCTTCTCCACTTGGCTCTTTTTTAAGGCAATAAACTTACTCACCCAACAGTCTTTTGTTTTTGTTTTCATTTTTGTTTTTCATAACTACTTTACCCTTAGCACTATACTGACAGATGTGTAGCCCAAGTCCCTGCTAGGGCTTAGAATCAGTCTGGGGGACACATCTGCCAACAGAGTGCAGTGGTGTCAGTGAGCTAGTGGAGCCTGTAAAAACCTCATGGGAGCAGAGACAGGAGCCTCCATGTCAACTAGTGACTGGAAAGATTTCCTAAAGGAGTTAGTATTTGTATAAAGACAGAGGATGAGGGAGGAATTGCCACAGCACTGAGGACCATTCCAGATGCGACAGCACACACCAAAGGTTTGACGGAATGACACATTAGCAGGGATTTGGAGAGTTATCTGTTGTTCATCACTGTCAGGACATTAAGAACAAAAATTTGGGCAAAGTCATCAGATATGAGGTTGGAAAACGAAGGGCTTTATATACCACTCAAAGGAGTTTTGACTTTATTCTAATGTGTCTCTCTCTAACAGCAGAGTTTATAAGGTTCCTTTATAAAACATCTTAAGGTTTCAGCTTGGTTTCAATGATAACTATATTAATAATAATAATAGGAGGAGAACTGATGAAAACATATTTCAGATCATCTGAATGACCATTTGCCATATATTTCAGTGCGCACACTGTGTTTACTGTTACCATGACACCAAGCCAGAGATGTAACAGGTGGAGAGCAGAGGAGATAGTTTGCATGAAGAAAGAGATCAGAGCAGCTAAAGTGAATCAAGCAGGAAGAGGTCTTCGCTACCACATGGTAATGGTGGTAGAAATTTCATACTCAGAACAATCCATGTCCTCCTGTTCTTAAATACAATTATACTGCAATAGAAAACTAAGATGCACAAAATAATATTATCTACTTTAAATTAAAGCTGCCTACTTGGCTTTGCAACTTTTTCATACTATAGGGTACTTTAACTAGTATATATAAATTTAGAATTAAGTGGTATGTTCAGTTTAGTGCAAAAAAAAAACTGAAATCATACATGATTTTTTCATCATACATATTTTTTCATGAATTTTTTTAGATTCCTCATATGCAGGGATTTCCTCATATGCATAGGACCAAATAATTCATTTTCCATACAAATTTTGAAGTACCTTCATACACTCCTTTTAACAGGCCTATAAATTACTTGTAAATAGTTCTATAAACTGTTCTTTATAGTTCTATAAATACAAATGATAAAATTTACATCTTGTATCTTGTTTTATATACATCTTGTATCCTTGACTGTCACAGAGAAATGACGGCCACACAGAAAGGCCAAAGATGGAAGGACTTCTGGGCTTGGCATCATGGCCTAGGGGCTAAAGTCCTTGCCTTGAATGCACCGGGATCCCAAAGGGCACCGGTTCTAATCCCGGCAGTTCCACTTCCCATCCAGCTCCCTGCTTGTGGCCTGGAAATGCAGTCAAGGACGGCCCAAAGCCTTGGGACCCTGCACCCAAATGGGAGACCTGGAAGAAGTTCCTGGATCCTGGCTTTGGATTGGCACATCACCAGCCATTGCACTCACGTGGGGAATGAAACATCAAATGGAAGATTTTCCCCTCTGTCTCTCCTCCTCTTGTATATCTGACTTTGTAATGAAAATAAAATAAATCTTTAAAAAAAAAAGATGAAAGGGCTTCTAACCAAGTGACTATCTGTCTCCTTTCATTAAAAGACACATTTGGGACCTAGCACCAAAGCCTAGTGGCTAAGTCCTTGCCTTGCACATGATTGGATCCCATACAGGTGCCAGTTCCAATCCCGGCAGCACTGCTTCCCATTTAGCTTCCTGCTTGTGGCCTGGGAAAGCAGTAGAAGATGGTCCAAAGCCTTGGGACCCCATACCCATGTGGGAGACCTGGAAAAAGCATCTGGCTCCTTGTTTCATATCAGCTCAGCTCAGGCCATTGCGGCCACTTGGGGAATGAAATCATCAGACAGAACATTTTCCTCTCTGTCTTTCCTTCTCTGTATATCTGACTTTCCAACAATAAATAAATATATAAATCTTTAAAAAAAATTTTTTTTAAAGAACACATTTGCTTAATCTCAATGATGTACTTTCCAAGAGAGGTCAGGATCCCATGGAATAAAATGTTAACCTGGCAAGCAAATCTGCAATTGTGTTTCACAGCATTCCTTGCCTATCTGGAAAGTTTCCCAAACTTCTATATTCATCATTTGGTACCAGTTCTATGTTGATGCCAGGATTAAATTAGGACCAAATCTCACATTTCACTGCAGTCAACAAAATCTGCCTGATAACAAGAAACAAGCAAGCCCACTGCAAATAGTTCCATAAGCTGGTTGGAGTTGAACTCTGTTCATCAAGGCAAGTAACGGGGATGCGTCTGTCCAGGAAAGGTGAATTATTTGAATATACACAAAGCCTGGAAGAACTTTCCAAGTCACTTCCCTTCAGATTACATCTTCTAGAGGGGACACCTTTTCACAATTGCATAAAGGTATCCCATGGGCCAACTGCGAACCCATTTTGTTTTCATAAAATTAAACCTTATATGTACTGCTCACTGTAAACAACTATCAAAGATTAATGAGGAAAACAGATTTCCTCCACCTTGAAAATTCTGGAGAGCATCTAACCCAAACAGCAAAAAGCAGTGATATAAAGGCACTCAACAAACACAGAAAAAAAACAAACCCACTACAAGATGCTCCCTGCTTACCTCTGGGGCCATCCAGAATGGGGTACCAACTGATGTGTTTCTTCGCAGACGTGTGCTGGTGAGCTGAGCAGAGACTCCTAAGAAAAATGAAGCAAAATTCAGCACTAATCAGAGACTCAGGCTAGCAACAGCTAGTGAGCTTTAATCATCCAAGGTCTAAATATTTTAGGCTTCTTGGTTCATGTAGTCTTAGCCACTGAATTCTACTCTCATGCTGCAAAAGCACCCATAGCAAATACATGAACTACTGAGCAAGCCTGCGTTTTGGTTAATGAATGCTGAACTCTCAATTTCATGATTTTCAACCACCACAAAATATTCTTTTGGGTCTTTTCTAATCACTTAAAGATGTAAAACACATTTTTTGCCCATAGGCCACACAAAAATAGATGGGAGACATATTTGGCCCAGAAACTATAGTTTGCTAATAGCCCAAGGATGCTAAAATCTTTATCACTCTATTCAAACCTTTGGAACTTTGTTTCCTAATGAACAATGCTATCTATATGACTGCAAATAGGAATCAAAAGAAAAACATCAACAACTAGCATTATCCCCAAATATCTTCCAGTTATATTCTCAAATTACTTTAGGTGATTTTGTTCATAAGTAGGTAGTTCATTTTATGGAGGAAAAATCTATGCATATGTAATAGAACAGTGGTATAGACATAAAAAAAATTCAGTGCTTCACTTTGCCCAGAAGCCTGAAAACAAGCAAGAGAGCATTTTTGTCAAGTGGAAAAAGAAACTGACAATAATGCTGTTATCTGAGAACCCAGATTTTAACATAATTCCAATGTTCTTTAACCAACTCTCTTTTTTCATATACCAAGAGGGAATTAAGTGGAAATAAGAGTATACTGGATTTAAAGGGAGAGGACCCATCTTTCATCCCAGTTATGCCTTTTACTGATTGTGTAACTATATCACCTTTAAAAAATTTTTTTTAGGGCCCGGCACGGTGGTGCAGTGGTTAAGGTCCTCGCCTTGCACATCCGGGATCACATATGGGCGCCGATTCTATCCCAGCAGCTCCGCTTCCCTTCCAGCTCCCTGTCTGTGGCCTGGGAAGGCAGTCGAGGGCGGCCCAAGGCTTTGGGACCCTGCACCCGCGTGGGAGACCTGGAAGAGGCTCCTGGCTTCAGATCGGCATAGCATCAGCCGTTGGGCTCACTTGGGGAGTGAATCATAGGATGGAAGATCTTCCTCTCTGTCTCTCCTCTCTGTATATCCGCCTTTCCAATAAAAAAAATAATAAAAATAAATCTTTAAAAAATTTTTTTTTTATTTATTCAAAGGGCACAGTTACAAAGAATGAGGGTCATAGGAGACAGAGACAGAGAGAGATACAGTTCATTTGTTAGTTCACTCCCCAAATGGCCACAAAGGCCAGGACTGGGCCAGATTGAAGCCAGGAACCAGGAGTTCCTTCTATGTCTCTTACCTGGGTGCAGGGGTGTTAAGCATTTGGGCCATCTTCTGCCTTTTTCCAGGCACGTTAGCAGGGAGCTTCATGGGAAGTAGAGCAGCCAGGACTCAAATTTGAACCCATATAGATGCTGGAATTGCAGGTAGCAGTTTTACTTGCTATGCCACAATGCCAACTTCTACATCACCTTTCAAAAATACTTACTCAGGGTGAGAGTTTGTATACTAAGTTAAACTACTGTTTGGGCAACCATATCTCATATCAGGGCAACAGTTCAAGTTTGAGCTACTGTACTTCCAATCTAACTCCTGCTAATGTGCCTGGGAAAGCAGAAGACGGCTCACGTGCTTGGTCCCTGCTATCCATGAGACCTAGAAAAAGCTCCCAGCTCCTAGCTTTGGCCTGGTCTAGCCCCAGCTGATGTGGGCACCTGTGAGGCGAAACTGCAGGTGAAAGAACTCTGTCACTCTGTCTTTTGAATAAATAAAAACAATCTTGGATGTTTTTTTAAAAACTTATGCATTTATATTCATTTTCTTTGAAAGGCATAGCTTTTGCAAATAAATCTACGGTATTCTTTTATATTAAGCAGAACCTAACATAGTCTTCAAGATAATGACAATGGCTGCTTTTATGGGCAAAGCTTGATTGGTTCTTTCCTCAGCTTACTATAGAAATAAAAGCTGGGAATTGGTTGCAGACAGAGGAGTTCTATTTGCAAAGTGACCAAGTGAATGAGAAAAGAAGGAAGGGGAAAGCACCTCCCGGCAGAGGTCTTCTTGGGGCAAGAACCTGCAGGGAAGACATTCTCCATTTGGTGGTCACCCATCCAGTTACAACATGGCTGGGAATTCCTGTGCTGCCCACTTTAAAGTAGTTTTCCTTCTCATTAAGCTGTCAGACTTCTCAGGGCTTAAAGCTGTCCTGTTTGCCAATATTTGCACTGCATGCAAACATGGAGCAGTGAGATCGTGGCCCACAGAGAATAGCCTCATGAGCCTTGCCCTTAAAGCTAACACAGAATTTTAGTGGGCTTGGAGGATCTCAGTTGCCACTAATTCTGTTGATGACAACAACTCAGAAACCTGAATACTGTGTACCAAATTTTGAGAGCATCTTGTGTGGATTTGCTGAAGTTATTGTTAGGTTTACTACTTGCATTCTCTTTATTGGAAAACCATTAGGGACTCTTTAAACCCTGATGGCCACATATAATTTCCCACTTTACCAAATCCTCAACACAGCTTTGTTAAAACAAACAACAACAACAACAAAAAACAGCTATACCTTTCTGTTTTTATTTCCATAAGTTGAAGTTCAGAAGCCCTCAAACAAAATCACAAAGCTAATGAGCGGCTAAATTAGCCTTAATCTCCATCCTGATCCATCTGCATCTCTCAAAACATATTTGGAGATATGTGTGGAAAACACATCTCTAAAGTTAGACATGCAGCATCCTACTGTTCTATCATTCCTGAAAGGGAGGAGTGAAAGGCTTGAACAAAGCATTCCTCTGCTATTTTTATTTGCTTGCTCTTAGCAAAACAATTGATGATCCACTTTCAGTAAAGGCATTCAGAGTGGGATCAGAACTTAACAAGTATGTGAGAATAAGATAAAAAAAAAAAAAATGGCTGTCTGGCCTGCATCTGAGAAATTCAAAGCCTGCCATCCTGCCTGCAAAACGGAAGGCTGGGACAATCTTAGGGTACCTTCTGGGAAGGTTGTAACCTCCCTAGTATCAGCCAATAAGGGATTGGGAAGAGACCTGCTTCCCTGGGGACACATGTTTTGCTCTCAGTGTCCCAGGCAGGCCAGACTCTAAACACCCACCTTTATAAAGTCACAAGTAAACCCTTATTTTCCGACTTCAAGTCAGAATCCATCCTTCGATGGGTAGGTGGTCTCTAGTGGGCTTCTTTCCATATTTGCAAACCAACCAAAACACTAAAGCAGCTTCATTTAAGCAACTTTTTCTGGGCAAGTGATTCATTGACACTGAATATTTTTACACTGAATTCTTTCTTATCAAAAAAGTCATGAGTATCCCAAATCATCAATCAATTCCACACCAAAAGCATTTTTAAAGTATTTGTCTAATGTTTCTTCAGTATTTGTAATAATGAAGTACTATCATTGAACTAATTTAGAAGATTAAATGACTCAATATACCTAAAAAGGAAAGCCAAATGGTATCTTGGTTTGTGAATGTCCACATATTAGTATTGCGAGGGGGAAGAGGGGAAAAAACAGTATTTACTAGTTCTCAGGGCTTAGGTGATATTGCCTGAGGTTTCCTCTCACACTTCCATTTCATGTTAATGTTTTCAGTTCAACCAGCCTCATATGTCACCACAATAATCATAATTTAAAGGGATATTAGCTCCCAGGCCCAAAGGACTATTTTACCTTCTGCTCACTGGGAATAACTATGCCTAAGGCAAAGGAAAGTCATTTGAAACACCAAATAGTTTTCTCTTTTCATATGCACAAGGACAAACAAAATGTAAACTATAGACAATTGCTCCCTGAAATGAGAAATTCTTATCAGAAAAGCAAAAACTTTTTTCTGTCAAGTTCTTCTTTTCAAACAGTTCTGTTTTCAGTCTTTAAGAAGATTGCTTCTAAAGCTGAAAATGGATTAACAAACAACCTCTCCTGGGGCGGTCCATCTGCTGTGCTCCCCCGCCCCCCGCAGGCTGTGTGTCACTGAGAGTTTCCCCGGCCTGTGGTATAACACATAGGCTCCTGGCATCTGGGACAACAGTGCATGGTCCCCTTCGGGCTAAATTGCACACATCAAGGAAACAAAAGACTAGCAGTCATTACCAAAGTCAACGAGCTTAACTCCTCCTTCTGTTGTCAGAAGAATGTTATTTCCCTTCACGTCACGGTGGATGATTTGGTTGTTGTGCAAATGCTGAAGGCCCTGCATGGTGTCCCACCACCAGGGAACAAAAGAAAGAGAAAGGGGACATTCACACACTTATGTTAAAGCAGCTACCCCGCTATTAAAAACCTACCCTATTACCCCATTTTGCCACACCTTCCTGTGGTGTGCAATTTCCCCACTGTAACCCTGCAGTGAGGGTCTAAGCCACCTACAAAGTGTCCCCTCTGCCAGCATCCCAGCCTGAGGAACTCTCTTACCAGGAGGGCCCCATACAGGATATACGAGATCACTGCTTCGTCCAAGCGCTGACCACACCTAAGCAGGCCTTTGACAAGCTCAGTGACCGAACCCCCATTACACAGCTGTGACAGAACAAACAGAAAGAGAAGCATACCGTTAAGACAGACTAATTGATTAATGATTCATCGTAATAAAGTAAATTTCAAGACAACCTCTAGCTTGGAATGATCTGCAAACTTCCATTACTCAGATAGATCCAGTTCTTTCTGTGTTTCCTTGACTCAAGGTGATGATTTATCCAGACAGCTGGCTTTTTAATTGCCAAGTAAAGTCCAAAAGCACAACTTATTATTTAGGAATTTAAATGAAAATGCTCTTAAGAAATCACAGTGACTTCCTGAGTATTTTTCACTTGTGAATATTGTTGTTGTTGTGTTAATAGTGAGGATAAAAAGGGCCCAGAAGAGGTAAGACCCTACTGATAACTGAAAGGGAATAAACTTCAGGGCCTGTAAACCTTCCTGCCTCAGAAGCCCCACCAGCAGCTCTGCCCACAGTCGCCACTGCACGTATACTAATGGGGTACAGCTGCATCAGGTAGTCCTTTAACCATCTCCCATTCAACTTCAGCCTTTCAGTAACAATTTGGTCTTCTCTTTCCCATCCCATTTCTATAACTAAGAACACTGTAAGATTCTATTTTGCATATTTTCTGTTATTTAGTACATTGTACATTACTGAGATGTGAGTAAACGAAGTGCGTATGTTATATTTTCTGAGTTCTTCAACAGTTTTCAAGGATAACTTCTACTAAATGTAGGTTTCAGTTGCACATACCAGTTTCATGTTACAGACCCATCCTCCACTTCCCTGAGGAGAAACTTCAGAATTTACATCAAATTCTAACACCCATACTTGATGTTGCAAAGGCAAAATCCCTGTGGCAGAACCCTCAGTCTCCACCCGGCACCCTGTCTGCTTTTTGGGGACCAGTTAGTTAGTGAACAGTGATAGTCCCCAAGGTTGTGTCTACTTAAGTCAACTGGCCACCCTTAGGCAAGGAAATCTGAGGGAACACAGATGAACAACAGCTTTCCTAAAAGAAGGTAACTTTTCATCAAGACAATAACACATGAGGCTCTATTTGACATCAACTATGAACATCCACAACATTTTAATAGAGAGAGCAGATGCTTTTATTTAACTCTAGCACATACCTTGTGCAAACATTTATTATCAAGATAAGCTAGATGTAAATCTGTCCAAGTTTTAACCACTTAAATCGTTCATTAGAAACAACAAACGACTAAAATTCTAGTATAGAGAATCTTCAAAACTGTAGTAAAATTGCAATCTCTCAGGAATGCTTTAAGAGGGACCCTAAGAGCAATGAAATGCATTAAGCTAAGATGGCCCTGTGAGTTTGGGACTGTATCAGTGAGCTTGGAATCTGCTGTCTGCCATTCAGGTTGAACTCCCCATCTATGGCTCTCAAGGTCCACCATTAAGGGCCAGATAACACCTTCCTTAGTGTACTTAGCTCTTAGTGTACTTCTGATCTTATGTCTTTCATGACCACGCAAGGATACTCTGTTGAGCTATAACACATGTTTGGTGCCATAACTAATAGAATAGTCACAAATTCTGGACATTTGAATGATAGATTATCTCAAGAAGTAAATATATCAAGAAATAAAGATAAGAGAATTGACCACAAAGTTCAGGGCTTTATAAAAGGCAAGTTTGCAATCATATGAATAAGGGACATCTTCAGTTGCTGGAGTCATGGAGACATGAGAAGACACAGGAAGTTCCCTTTGTGAGGAGGAGGTTACCTTATAAGGGGGTAACAATGAAAACATCAGTTTCCTAAAATCTTCTCCCATTTGGAAATGTCAGAGAACACTTTATGATAAACACAGTGCCCATGTCAAACGAAACTGTGGCATGACATGGTGAGGCCAACTAAGCCAGAGGCTACAGCAACAGTTTCTTAGGCCTGCACAGGTTCTTTCAGCTCGGTCTCTCTCTGCCTTTCAAACAGGAAGAAAGTAGTTTTCAAACATGGTTTTAAACATTTCAAAGATAGATGGTACAATTTTATCATGACAAAGACTTGATAGTCACCAACAGTTCTGGGGCCTGTGTCCTTATTGCCATGGCTTTATATAACCCAGATCCTGGGTTGTACCCAGAGCTTGATGTCACCCAGACAGAATGGAAGGAAAAGAAGGAAAGAAGAGGCCTGAAAACACAGTGCTGACCTAATGACTGAGCTTTGAACCGAACTGTGAAAAAAAGATTAAAACATTCAAGTGTGCCCTTTCCAAAGAAGTCACTCAACTTCTTGAACCTAACAAATGTGTTAAAGATCAGTTCTTCAGTCTTCTCTAGGCAGGTAAGGACTCAGAAATAAAATTGTCATTGAGAAGTCTTTGTTCTCAACAGTCTGTGACTGTCCAATTTGTTACCAATAACTGTATGTTGCAAGCTCTAGCCTCAAAGAGCACACCCAGTAGTGGACAAACGAGTGAGCAGAGTGTGGAATGTGGAGGCAGGGTCACACTTATGCAGCAGTATGTCACTGAAAAGGGAAGGGTAAACTCTGCTGAGGAGGAGCAAAGAGGACATTCTTGCAGATCTTCCCAGAAACAGAACATTTATAAGGAGTCTGAAGGAGAAATAGGCAATGGAGAGATAGCTAAGAAGGGGAGCAGCATCTTAAGAAAAAGAGCATAGGGCCCAGCAGCACGGCCTAGCAGCTAAAGTCCTCGCCTTGAACGCCCCAGGATCCCAAATGGGTGCCGGTTCTAATCCCAGCAATTCCACTTCCCATCCAGCTTCCTGCTTGTGGCCTGGGAAAGCAGTCAAGGACGGCCCAAAGCTTTGGAACCCTGCACCCGCGTGGGAGACCCAGAAGAAGTTCCTGGCTCCTGGCTTCGGATCGGCGCAGCACCGGCCATTGTGCTCAACGTTGCACTCACTTGGGGAGTGAATCATTGGATGGAAGATCTTCCTCTCTGTCTCTCCTCCTCTCTGTCTCTCTCCTCCTCTCTGTATCTCTGACTTTCCAATAAATAGTAAATCTTAAAAAAAAAAACAAAAAAAAGAAAAGAAGCATAATGTGTTATGTACAAAGGAAGAAGAAATAAGAGATATGTGTACATGTATACGCAAATAAATTTTATTATGTTTTTTTAAAGACTGAATTTTTATAAGATTTATTTTACTTTTACTGGAAAGGCAGATCAATAGAGAAGAGAGACAGAAAGATTTTCTGTCTGATGATCCACTCCCAAAAACATAGCTAGGAGCTTCTTCCAAGTCTCCAACATGGATGCAGGGTCCCAAGGCTTTGAGCCATCCTCTACTGCTTTCCCAGACCACAAGCAGGAGCTGGATAGGAAGTGCAACAGCCAGGACATGAACCTGTGTCCATTTGGGATCCCAGTAAGTGTAAGGCAAGGACTTAGCCACTGAGCCACTGCACCAAGCCCATGCACATAAATTTTAAATCCTCTGCTAATATTGGGACAAAGATTTGCTGAGATCCTAGGGTATGGAGATGGAAAAGAAGATGTGGGACAAGGAAGGACAGGTGTGCACTGCTAAGGAGAATGGGTTTTACTGTTGCACATTATGTCTATCACAGTACATTTGCTATTAGGGAGAGAGATGAGGCAGGAAGACGACTTGGTCAGCAGATTGGAAGGTCCCAGAAGAAGACACCACCAGAGTTGGGCACTCATTAGAGATGTTGAAGCACTCAATGGAGCCAGAATCAAAGTCAAGAGTCTTGAAAAAGAAGAGGCAGTTTGGGGGGACTTTTATGAGAGAGATTTGACAGGAATTTCCCACTGTATGTGGAAGGTTACGAAGGGACAGTGTCCAGACACACTATGAGCATAAGGGAAATATCAGTAATATCCGTTGGCCCTCTAGAGCCAAAGCAGCAATGAAATGGCAGCAATGACAGTACCTTCATCAGGACCATACTCTAGGCTGGCTCCCCTCTTAGAGAGGCCCAAGCTTTGCTGTGTTGCAAGAAAGCCATTAAAATTCTATCCAGAGAGGTCAGCATTGTGACACAGTGGGTAAAGTCACTCCCTGTGACACTGGCATCCTAGATGGACACCAGTTCATGTCCCAGCTGACCCTCTTCTGCTCCAGCTCCCTGCTAATAATGTCTGAAAGAAACAGTGGAAAACGGCCCAAGTGCTTGGGCCCCTGCCCCCACATGGAAAACCTGGCTGAAGCACTTGGCTTATTCCTGGTTCTGCCTTGGCCACTGCAGCCATCTGGGGAGTAAACCAGCAAGTGAAGATCTCTCTCCCACACATGCATGCTCCCTCACTTTCTCTCATTCACTTTAAAATAAATTAATAAATCTGTTTTTAAAAATTCTACCCTGGAATTGTCTCCTGAAACTGCATTTTTGTTTCGCCACTTTCCTATTTTAAATATAATCATTTTGGCAAGAAGGGTCTCTTGGGCAATATTTTATATGGGTAGCCAGCTTACAAACTTCCTTCCTAGCCCTAGAACCTAGCAAGGGAGTAAGAGCAGCTACATGCCTGCAGGATCACAACTCAGCTATGGACTTAAAATAACAGCAAAGTGCCTTTTGGTGCCTTTTGTTTGCTAAATGTCAGACTTTCAGAGCTGTCTAACTCCCAGGATTCACAGGAACATATAATTAAACTATTCAGGCACCCTTAAAGAAAGCTGTCCCATGGCATTGATAAGCCTACCAGCAAGGTTTCAAAGAGCAGCCTGTGGGTTCTTGAAAAAAAGACATTGGAATTTGGAAATACAAAAGAGAACAGGCACACCCACAACAATTGTCTAACCAGGATAAATGTTCAGTGAAATGGGGTGAACACTTTAAAAGCATGACAACAACATTTAAGTGCATCAAATAAAATACACTTCCTTTAGAACTCTAAAAAGACAACCAAGTTTCCCGCCCCAGTCAGCCTTTTCTTTGTTTCCACCCTTCTGCCAGCCATCAGATTCCAATGCAGAGGTATATCTGCATCCCTGCTGTCCCTCCCTACGCCTTCAGAATTCAGGAAACATACCAACCAGATGTACCTAGAATTTAATGAGTTTCTGCTCCAAA